TTTTTTTTTTTTTTTTTTTGGAGGATGACAATACTTCCTCTCTACCCTATGGGAGCGAGAAAGTAAAAACATGCCTTGATGAAGAGAAAGTATTCTAAATATGTACGCTTCTACGATAGCAGTTCGTCATAAAACAATGTTTTTTGTTGTTACATCTGCGCCATGCAGTCGTTCCGTTTTGGTGAGTAAACAAATATTTCCTCAGCGAGTGCCACAGAAATCGAGAACGCTATTCAAGAGAGCAAGCGAAGCGTCTGACACAGTGTTCCCGGGTACTCCGTGTGCGAAATCCGTACGCTCTACCGCTCTTCGTGCTGCTATTGGCTGAGCGTCATTCTGTGACGTCACGCGTACGGATATTTTAAGATAGGGAAGCGTTTTTCCCATAAGGTTTTTGTCTGTGCGCGGTCCGTGTCGGTATAGGGAATGTCCGCGCGGCACGGATAAATCCGTACGCCTGGCATCACTGGTCTGACAGGACAGGCACGAGAGTATGGAGGATTAGGCCCGACTGGATAGGAAAGATTTGAAACAGAAGTTGAGCCGTGAGCAAGAAGTTGCGTACGTTGGCGCGAGAGTGCGCGGCGAGCGGGATTCCCCATACTACTGCGCTGATTGGCCGAACGAGAGTTGTGGACGGACGATGTTTGAAAAATTGCCTACGTGGAGGTGGTCCGGCAGCAACAAACCCGCCGCCAGTCTCTGGAAAACAATAGAAAATAGTAGTTGCGTGCGTTGCCAGCGAGCGCGCTGTGAGCGCTTCTGTTTCGATTACTTAGCGGTGAGTCGGGCCTCTAACCTTCCATACTCTCTGGGACAGGCTAAGGATGACTAATAAGGGAGGTGACTCGGTCTGCTGGATTCATAGAGTATTAAAGAGTCGCTATGTACTGGAGCGCCAATGAAGTCTATCCATGAGAGGGCCATTCCGAGCCCCTTGTTTGCCTGAAAATGGGAACCATCTGGGAACCGTTCGGCATTTTTTAACATTGCGGCTCATGGGAGAATCGCGGGCTGCGAATGGTTTTCGGGATTTATTCATTTAAATCAATCATTATATCTGCGAATTTTGGCAAATTGTGTTCACCGAAGTCATGACAAATTAAAATATGTACAACTTTCCCGATTTTTATGAAATTTTTATACCTGAACAGTGCTCGAGACTCATCTTTGAATTTCAGGAGCCATGTGGCTCATCAAGCTCAATTTTTAGGGGCCATTGAAGATTTTTTAGGGGCCAAATTGACTTTTTGCCTAAATATCACGGCGCACTCAATGAAAAGTTACAAAACAAGTTGCTGTAACTTGGGAAAAATTTCGAAACATCACCAAACAGAAAAATAAAGATTTTCTCATGGGGGAGGGGGGGTGCAATTTTCAGGGGCCACGTTGGCGCAGATCCTTCATTTTTTAGGCGCCATGACCAATTTCTTAGGCAAATTTGGCGCGTTGGCACCTGAGGGTTTCGAACACTGTGTACCTGTATTTTCTGAGCGAAGACCGGAGCTGGAACCCCGTGCATACGGCATCGCCAGTCGCCGCACACTAGTCTCAGGTACTGGATAAAACAGCCTCAAAAAGTGACTTCATCGGCGCTCCAGAACATTGTGACTCTTTTGTTCTCTATGGCTGAACTGTGCGAGTGTGAGTGTGAGCTTAGCGGCTTCACCTAGTCACCATGAATACCGATTGGTGGGGGCCGCGCGGCCGGAGCGCTCGCTTCCCCTCTCACGGTCAAAACTTTTTAGAGATTCTACGAGGTTTATATAATAGATGAAAAAACATTATAGTAGGAATGGCCTGTAGACAACTGTGATAAGACATAGGTATACATTTTGGACACCTAGATAGCGCGATAAGTTGTCGAGATCCTGGACGAAAAAAAGAGGAGAGTGTATAGAAAATAGGGAGACTGAAATAAAAAAACATACGGAAAAATAAAGTTGAAATGACAAAGAATAGCCCTGATGTAATTATTTGATAAGAAGGGGAGGAAAAATGCTTACTTGGTCGCACCTGGAGGATGTTCATAGAAGAGTTCTTGTCGTCGGGACCAACCCATTGTTCGACGAGAACTCCTTCGTTGAACTCTGCTTTGAGTCGACCAAAGAGATACTCCACAGCGAAGGGGGGAGGCGTCCACTCGGAGGTCGTGACAGGCCAACCCCCCAGGGATTCCAAAAGTCTTTTCACAGGAGCATTGCCAATCTTTCGAATTTGAGCTGAAATCAAAAATCCACTTTTCAATACGCAAATTTCATTCTTCGTTGAGTAAACATGACGCAAATATGTAGGGTTCCTCATCATATTAGCGCTTCCCTTACACTTTATCTAATCGTACTGTTTCTGCTGCCCTGTCATTAACCACAAAATTAATGAGAATCCTGCTGAAAATGTGTCGTGAACTTTCGTAATCAAAATTCTATACTTTCCCGTAGGTATGGACAATAGCAGAAAATTTAACGAGATGCATGAAAACTTGTGGGAAAATAACTGCCTCTTGCAGATTTTATCAAAAATAATAGAGAACTTCAAAGAATGTCATGTAACGGAATTGAGAACCAGAATTTTTGGAATTATATGTACCTACACTTCGTCGAGTCTCTGGAGATTTCTCCCGAGGTGCCTCTTCTATTTCTCATGGTTTTCCACGGAATTTTGTACTTATAAATTTTAGAGTTTGGAATTATCTCTGTGATTTTCTGCGAAAACTTTGAAAAACATAGACTTTTCAAGACCAAAATAAGTAAGTACATTACAAGGCTGAATCTAAAACTTAGGAATATAAGCAATGGAAAATTACCTACTGTATTTTTTTTTCTTTCTCAATTTTCCTTCCAAGTTTTCTGAGTAAAAATCCAACAAATTTTCTGAAATAACCTTAGGAAAGAAAGAAAGAAGAAAAGAAAATGTTAAATTCATCCTCTCAAAAAGAAATAGACCTTAACCCCCTATCATTTCTACGTCACTGCTCAACTATGAGCGTTGCCTACGAGAATGGAGAGGCCGTAACTACGATTCTGTGACGTCACACTAGTAGATGAAACTCGGCCGCGGTTTATCACGCGTTCTTATGGGAGAACGCTTGCCGCGCGATGATTTCTCGCCGATATCTTTTTCAGGGTTCATCTGACGCAAAATTTCATAAGAACCTTTTCCAAAGAGGATAAAATTTCACTTTGAAAAACCAACTACCCAAGTAGCAGTGATCGCGATAAATTGCGATTTAATCGGAGAATGTATCGCGATTTTATCGACGTCGCGATTTATTGGATTATTATCGGATAAAAAATCGCGATAAATTGCGATAAAATCGCGATTTTATCGACGGCGATTTATCGCAATATTATCGGGAGAAAAATCGCGATAAATTGCAATAAAATCGCGATTTTATCGAACGCGATTTTATAGAGATAAAATTGCAATTAATTGCAATTTTTCATCAACGCCCACTAACGCATGAATGATGCATATGAGAGATGTTTCTATGCCGCCGCGCCGCCGCCGTTTTTACCAAGGTCCGTTGGTAACTTAACCATCTCATTTTTTTTATCAATTACCTATTGGTAATGTTACAAAGACAGACTGGTAAGCGTATCTAAAACCCGGTATTTTTACTGATTTTTTCAGGTAAGAATAACACTTTTATTGGTAATCAATTCTCGGTAACTTCACCATTTAATCTCGGTAATTCTACCACAGTCGATAAAAAATATTGGCGTTTTTACCAAGGTCCATCGGTAACTTTGCCATCTCACTATTATTTACAGAGAAAAAATGATGAGATTACCAATAGAACCTTATTTTATCAACCGTATTTCAAGGTATGAAATGAAATACAGAGGAGGGAAAATAAAAAAAAAAAAAAATAAAATCCAATGAAAACTCGGTGTCAGTCAACGCAAAGACATAAGTTGTAAGGCTGCGAAGCGCCGATCCATGTATAAGAGGCTTCAATTCGCACTCGTTATTCATATAGAGGCCATAGCCTAGTGGCACAGTGCTGGCCTTCCGCCGTAGCGATTGGGGTTCGAATCCCCGCGGGGGCACTGGGGATTTTACGCTCGACTTCGTCAAAGGACCTGATGGCGGAACCTAACGGCAGTCGGCTAACAACGTTAACCCCTTTTTTTGGCGATGTTATCGGTGATAAAATCGCTAGGATCATCAAAATCTGAGTGATTATCCTCGATCTTATCGCGATAAAATCGCAGTAAAATCGCGAAAAGATCGAGGATAATCGCTCAGATGTTGATGATCCTAGCGATTTTACCGCCGATAAAATCGAAGATAATCGCGATTTTATCGGCGATAAAATCGCGATTTTTCCGTTGAAAAATGCTACTTGGGTAACCCATTTGTTACATTGTCTAAAAATCAAGGAAATGAAAGCGTAATACCGAAAATCGGCACTCCACTCAGATTCAAACGGGCCGCTCGCGCAACTTCGGCGGATCTCGCGCAACTTCGGCCAATCGAGGGCCACTCTGATTGGTCCACGCAGCGACTGCCTCACTCATCGATGCACCGATGACCCGGAGATGCTTGTTGTTTTCGGTAAATATCTACTAGCTTGACGTCACAAGTCCATAGAGTACAATAGAGTCGCAAAGTACTGGAGCGCCGATGAAGCCAATCCATGAACAGACGTTTCCGAGCCGCGTGTGCTCCGAAAAGTGCGAACCAAGTGTGAACCCAACGGCATTTTGTAACACGGCGGCTTATGGAGAGATCAAGAACTGCTTGTGTTTTTTCGACATTTTATAATTCAATCAGCATTAATTTTTGCAAATTTTGCTATTGAAAGGTAGTCAAAGCCATAATGAATCCATTGATGCACATTACTCCTGGATAATATTCATATTGGGATTTAATTTCTGACTTGTACAAAGTGTGAACCAACCGGCATTTCTTATCACGGCGGCTTACGGGAAAAGCAACGACTGCCTGTGATTTTTCGACATTTTTTGATTCAATCGATATTAATTTGAGCACATTTTGCTATAATTAGATAGTCAAAGCCATAATGAATCCATTGATGTATATTACTCCTGGAGAATATTCATATAGGGATTTAATTTCTGACTTATACCAAGTGTGAACCAACGGCATTTTTTAACACGGTGGCTTATGGAGAAATCAACGACAGCTTGTGTTTTTTCGGCTTTTCTAAATTCCATCTTTATTAATTTGTGCAAATTTTGCTTTAAATAGATATTCAAAGCCATAACGAATCCATTAATGTATGTTACTCCTGGATAATAGTAATCTATGGACTCAATTTCAGACTTATTACCGGTCTACTTAGCTGGTTCAATGTGTATGGACCTGACAGAGACGTTTTGCCGTAGCGGAGCCGAGTCGGGGAGTGGGGAGCGCTGAAGCCGTTTCACGAGATTTGTCCCAGGGAAAAATCCCACTTACGAAGTTGGGAAAAATATTGAGTTAATCAATATTTTTCCCAGTACCAAGTATGGTACTTGTACCCCTAGGACCCACTGAGAGAAGAAGAAGAAGTGAAAACGAATTGTGCGATATTTTATTCATTACTACATTGTTAATGTTTGTTTAGTTAAAATAATGTGTCTAATTGTCAATTGAGTGCAATTATTATTTTAATCCCGGTTAAACACTCGACTTTAACCAATTTATCTTCCCGCGAAAACTAGTCGCAGGACTGTATGAGCCCCGTCCCGTGGAGACGGTAACTGGGAAAAATCCCAGAAGTTTCATTCCTGCGATTCGAACTTTGGACAAATCCCATGAAAACGTCCCGTGGAGACAAGGCCTTCCATTGCGACTCTATTGTACTCTATGCACAAGTCTGACTAGTTACCGCCTTTCCATTCTCGGACGGCAAACGCTGTAAACAACGTTGTGAGTTATAGTAAAGAGATTAAAGTTTAATCAGTCCTGACGAGGATTGTTTGGTCGGTCTAAAATAAAAGCAAAAAAGTAAAATCTGAATCCTACAATAAATGCCTTTGGTTTGTCTCATGGCCAAAAGAAAAAAGGAAAAAGAAGGGAATCCAAACGCGGATATTTCAATGTGGCGCATTACCCAAAAATAGTCAGTCGGACTTGAATTTTGCAAAATTTATTTGATTAAAAATTTCGTCAGTATAATATTTGATTGTTGACAATCAAGGCGGATAAAGAAAAATGGTCGCTGGTCGCATTTCGAGTTCAGCCGCCATTTTAAAGGCTTTGACGCGCAGAGGGTGCATGCTTTGGCATGCAATCAGGATGTGCCCGAAACATACCCAATGCCGTGTGACGTCAACAGGGTAGGTACGAAATGCGACCACCATTCTCGATCCGCCTTGGTTGACGATAGTTAATTTTCTTTGATGTTGTCAACAATAAATATCGAGTGACCCTAACACCAAAATTGCTTAATACTGAACAGTGGAGCCAGCTTTAGGTAGAGTGCCATTATAGGGAGAGTATACCCAAGTAGCATTTCTCAACGGAAAAATCGCTATATATTGCAATTTTATCGGCGATAAAATCGCTAGGATCATCAAAATCTGAGCGATTATCCTTGATCTTATCGGGATAAAATCGCGATTTTATCGCCCGTCAATTTATCGCGATATTTTTGAAAAAAGAACCGCGATAAATGGTGATTTAATCTCGATTTTATCGACGAAAATTGATCGGATTTTATCGAACCAAAAATTGCGATTTGTATCGATTTAATCGTTATAAATCGCAATTTTTAATTCAATAATACCTCGATATATTGCCACCGATATAATTGCGATAACCAACCGATAAAATCGCTATTTATCACGATCACTGCTACTTGGGTATGGATACTAGGTTACATTAGAGTACTTTTATAAACAGAGTTTAGCAACAGAAGGTTCCACTGGAGTCCCTTTATACTGAGAGTGAAGACAATGCGAATCCATTTCTGATTGGTTCCCGTATTTTAGGCCTTCACAGTGTCACAAACGGGAATAAAGATTACATTTTCACCAATTGCAAAGATTGGCTCGGCCATTTTAAGAAAATCCCCGCGGACCCAAATTTTGCCATTTTTAGGGTCGCTCTTTTCAGTAGGGGTAGTCGAACCTTTTCGATAGTGTATTGACAAGCACTGCCGGAATGGTAGCCGAGTAGCGTCACCAGGAATGTAGAGGAAACTTTGCCCAGGAAAGGCTTGACAGGAACTCACCATTTCTGAGCGAACGGTACCCCAATAGTGGGGCCGATA